CCGGACGCCCCCGCCCCGGACCCCGAGCGCATCCAGCGCCTCCGCCGCCTCATGGTAGTCAAAGAGGAAGGGGACGGGGCCGCCAGGGAGAGCCGGCGAGGTCCGGGCCGGAGCAGGAAGGCGCCGCGCAATGTGCTCACGCGAATGCCCTGTGAGTGCGGCGGGCGCGGACGGGGGACGACGTGCCCGCCTGCTGTCCGGAAGGTGGCGGCCGAGGGGCCATTTGCCGGGTGCTAGGGGCTTGGTGTATTAGGGTCTGCGCGTATTGGGAGGGTTTAGGTGAAGGTTTGCAGATAATTAGCGACAGCGGGGAGGTTCTGTTTGAGTAATGTGGGGAATGGGGGCGGTCGTCTTGAGTAATGAAGGTTCTGCACGAGCCGTGGGGCAGAGTGGAAAAGTCTGTAGAGGTAATAAGGAGCTCTGGGGAGGAAGGTCTGCCAAGGTGATGGGGTCCCTGGAAGTGGCTACAAGGGAGGGGTGATGAGGAACCTGCAGAGAGCATCTGCTGGAGTGGTGGGGAGTTTGGAGGGGTGGATGGGGCCTGCAAATGGGACATCATAGGTAGGGTTTGCAGAGGTGATAAGAGGTTTGGGGACCACAGACAGAGGAGGTGGTGCACAGCCAGTATTAGGGGAATGTGTGTTTGCATAGTGGGATTTGAGGTGGGATGGAGTGTGGGGAGATCCGTTGAGATAGCACAGGGGACATAGAACCTCTACACGTTAAGTGACAGCTCATTCTCCGATGCTATAAGCAGGAGAAAGGCTGCAGGCTCTTGATACACATATGTTCACATTACAAGATCACAAGTGCTAGAATGCAGCAGGCACAAAATGCTTCTAAAACACAGACACTGTTTTACAGCCACTCTACCAGGCTGGATGGCATATATATTACCATATGCGCAGGTTATTTTAAGTTCGGAATGTGTGAATGGCACAAGGGAATTTCTTGGAGCCTCCTAATAGATCCTTAGAGTAAAACTGTAAACAGCAGAGGTTGCTAATGTGTGAGTTAGGTCTTGTATAAATGGAATAATAACAGCCTAAGGTTATATCTTTTGTCATCTGGCAAGCAGTTCTGACATCTGCCCTGTGAACACAATGACCTATTTAGCCATTCAGAGCATCTGTATCCTAATAGCTAAATTGTGACATTATTAAATCACTCAGTTTGGAATGGAGGGTTGTGCTAAGCAAGGGTATATTTTGTTTCATTCCTAGAAATGTGTTATTTAAGAGAGGAACATTATGAAAAGCTGTGTGCTGTTAGGGGTGCCTTTGTTGGATGATTTACTTCCCAAGCTTAGGTTTACCCAGCTTGTTTGCTCAGCAGTAACACAAAGATGGAGTACCGTGTTCCTAAAATAAGAGCAGTTGGGGGACCTTATTTTGCCTGTACTTTTCGCCATATCAGATCTTTGAAATGCACTCCCAAGTCTCAGATTGTAACATTCATTTCCATTTTGCTAGTTATTGCTTTGCTATTGAGATTGTCAAGGAAAAGAAATATTTCTATGTAGTGGGTGGTTTTAGCTTTACTTGTGAGAGCACTTTGCTATATTGTTATGACAGAGTGTGACAACCAGCTTTGTTGACATCCCACAATAAAATATATGCCTGGAATCAAGGTCTCAGAGAATGTGCCCTAGGCACTGAAAATTGTAATCATGCCACTGGAAACAAATGGGTAGACATCACAAAGAGGTGATGATCTTTAGAAAGCAAAAAAAAAAAAGAAAGAAAGAAAAGAAACAAGCATGGGTGAGGATTAGATTTATTCAAGAAAGAGTTCCTATAAGAATAAATTTTAGATCTTGAAATTAAGAGCATGGTTGAGGATAATAGTAATTATTTAAAAATCAGGGTCTTGAGGTGTAAGTTACATATATAGCAAAATACACCCTTTTAAAGTGAGTTTTGACAAATGTATAGTCTTGAAATCACCACCGCAGTCAAGATACAGAATAATTGCATCACCCCAAAAAGTTTCCTCATATCCCTTTGTAAGTCGAGTAATAATTTTATTGTTGCTAATTATAGCTACTGTTATTAAGCACACATGTGCTGTATTGTAGCTAACCCTTTTAGATGTATTATATCTCATTTTACCCGTAGATATGACTATCGATGAGGAAACTGAGGCTCAGTTATTACCTGTTATTGCCCAGGGTCACATAACTAGTTAGTTTGCAGCTGAGAATCCTGGGTTTGTCCAATTCTGGGGCCTATGTGCTTAACCATTATGCTAGTCTCAGGAGAGGGGAAGGGAGAGTACATTCTAATGTCTCCTTGCTTGATTTTGGTGTGTGGAAGGTACATATGTGAGGCAGAGGATTTGTGTCCAGAGCAGTGAGAATGGAATTTGGGTCCAGAGAGGGATTTGTTGCTAGAATGCATTGAAGAGCCAAACTAAAGAGTTTCTGTTTGACTTGGTGTTGGTAGAGAGTGGGAACCATGGTGTATATTCTTAAGCAAAAGCACTTTTAGGGCAAATGTTACTAGAAGCTAAGTTTCTCATAGTAAAATATATTTAGAGCACACAGCTTTGACTGTCTATGTTTGAATACTGGCTCTTCTACTTTCTAGCTGTTTTACTTTAGGCAAGTTGCTTAAACTCTTTAGGGCCTCAGTTTCTCATCTGTGGAATCAGGACAATAATAGAATCTACCTGTAGTTCTGAGGTTTAAATTAGTTAACACATTTAAATTATTTACAACAGTAATCTTCTGTAGCACATAGGGAAATTCTCGGTGAATGTTAAATGTCACTGTTAGGCCATCATAATGAAAAGCCCCAGGTCAGGATGCATGTAACCGGCCTGTATGAACTATTGGCTCAGCTGTTTACTAACTAGGTAAGTAACTTTGAGCAAATTATTTAAAACTTTTTGGGCCTCGATTTCCTCATCTACAGAATAAAATAATGTGCATAAAGTTAAACTTAACCACAGGGCGTGGCCCATACTGAGGGCTCAGTATTAGGTAATAATTGGGTGACAGTGATGACAATGATATTGTTGGTGTGAGTGACGGGAGCTAGGAGACTGTTGTAATAAACCAATCATCTGGTAAGGCTCTGGACGACTGTACAGTTGGTTGTGCAAAGAGAAAGTTCTTAGTTATTGAGAATCTATTGTCTGGATTTAGTGATGGGATGGCCATGAGCAGGGAGAAATAAGAGTGAAGTTAAAAATGACTTGGATTTAGAAGGGTGTGGCCCAAGCATAATAGCTTTCTTCAAAAATAAGCCTTTTTCTTTTTCTTTTTTTTGGTCATGTTAAGTTTTTACAAGCCTGGCTCATATCCATTTGGAGTTTGTTGCAGAGGCTGCTGGAATGAGATTCAGAATGTGGAGCTCATTTTGCCTTGGCAGTTTGCTCTGATAGGTGGTGCTAGTGTTGTAGGTTTGATCACACAAGGAGAGAAATGCTTCCTGGAATTATACTTTATTAAATCTTTGGAAGAAAAAAACTCAAGAGAAAGATACAGATGTGAGAGCTGAAAGACCTGTTTGCCGTTTGTTTAATTAGAATAAGAGACTGTTGTTAAGATACATGCTTTCCCTTTCTCTTTGACTTGGGAGTTTGGAGGGAGAAGTGGTACCCCTATTTTCTTCCAAGTTAGTAAAAGAATGGAATTTCCACTCTTTGTAGAAACACATATGTGTATGGAGGTGAGTGGGGGCAGTGAATATGTGTAGGCGAAGGGAGTAATCCAAGCATTGTGATCAATTTCTAAGAAATTGAATTATAGAGATTTATTTCTGAATCTAGACTTTAACTAGTCATCTGATCTCATTTTATAAATGAAGAAACTTGGACTTGTAGGAAAAAAGTTACTCACCAAAGTCATACAACTAGCTATAATGACCTCAAAGTTGTTTATGATGCTTGATTTAATATAGTCTATAACACATATCCATATTCACGCACACACACACCCTTATACATCAAGTGTTCAAAGAATTGTAGAATATTGCTAGAGGTAGAGTAGGTAATGGAGATCAGACCAAAGTTCTCATATTCCTTTTTAAGGCCACTGTTTCTACCACTCTGCTCCATTTATGCCTTATTGCTGAATCTTCAATCTGACACAAGCTCCTACTTCTCATATTCTAAGTCACTTTCTTCCAAGAATATTTTATTAATTTATCGCTGCCATCAATTATAAGCCAACCCATGAGTGAGGTAATAAGGAGGTCAGGAGTAACCAACTTAGTTTTCCAAGCTGAAGTATGGGACTGTTGTTCTCTCTTATGCTACTAGAAACAAAACAGAGTGATTTTTTTGTTTGTTTGTTTAAAATCAAAGAATTTTGCCTGGCAAACTTGGAAGGGAAAGACTGAGACTTTGTATCCATGGGTGAGGAAAAAAAAAGAGGGAGGGATGGAGAGAGGCAGAGAATGTCTATGTGTGTGGTTTTCTTTTGAGATGTCGTATATAGTATAGCTAGAATATTGTGAAGGCTAAGTTAACGTGAAGTAATAAAAATGAAATTCATCCATTCCCAAGCTCTGAAAAAAAGAATCTATCATAGTAAAAGCTAAAATTATAGTCCCAGCATTCTTCTTATGAATCGTCATAATGCTTTTTTACATGATGCTTATCAGTCATCTCATAGGAGCCAGATGCTCATCAGGTGCTTTTACCCCAGCAAGGCTTGTAATACAACCAGGTCTCTGACTCCTAGTGTGAAGGTGATGTACGTTGAAACACTAGTGGCTCCAGAGAGCTCATGCATGGGGTAGATCAGACTGGGGGGCCTAAAGGCCATTCTCTTGGAGGATTACATGTGTTTAAGGACAAGTGTTATAGCATTTGTTTCCTTTAAACTTATGGACAAGGTTTTTGGTTCTTTGGAAGGCTCAAGCTGGATATGTGTTCATGAGAATTATACTGAAAAAGGTTGCCTTAACAAGGCAACAAACTGAGAAGAATCTAGCTGCTGATGTGTACATTTAATGTATTTCTTTTTACCCAAAAGGTTTTAAATGATGATGCATCCTAGAATCAATGGCATCATAGACTATAGGATATACAAGTGGTGAAACATTTTGATGATAGCCATTCATAGGGTTTATCCACATTCTGGTAGAATTTTGTCTCACATCAGTGTGTTGCCTGCACTAGCCAGTAGCGTGTTATGCCTTACTGCCCACATGGTGAGGTTACCACTGTATCTCGTTGCCTTGAGTTGCTGGAGATGGTTGGGTGGTCTTGGTTGTTAATTGTGCGAATGAGAGCAGATGTTCATGCTATGCTGACTGTTCTTCTCTTGTTTCAGTGCACGAAGGCAGCCCTCTGGGTGAACTCCATCGTTGTATTCGGGAAGGGGTAAAGGTGAATGTTCACATCCGCACTTTCAAAGGACTTCGGGGAGTCTGCACAGGCTTCCTCGTTGCATTTGACAAGTTCTGGAATATGGTAAATAAGCCTTCCTCAGAGGGCTGGAGAACCTCTGAGGGGTTAAATGTTTTTTTATGTTTAAAGGACCTGACTAACCTTATTCAACGAAACGTACAGAATAACCCCAGAAGAACTAGAATCTTTGTACTCTCTTGGGCAACAAAAAACAAGTTCTTTTTATTGCTTCTTTTTTCTTAAGGCAGTAGATTTCAACCAGGGTGATTTTGCCTTCTTTCTCTCCCGGGGACATTTGGCAATGTCTGGGGACATTTTTTTGATCGTCACAACTGCTGGCATCTCGCGGGTAGAGGCCAAGGCTATTGCATGTCCTACAATACACAAAATAGCCCCCCAACAACAAAAAAAGCTATCTAGTCTAGGATGTTATTAGTGCTAAGGTTGAGAAACCCAGCCTTAAGGAAAAATTATTTATTTCATCTGTTTAGTAATTTTGTATTGATTTCCTATTAAAAATACTTATTGCCTTCCCACTTTGGCTGGACATGTGCTAAGTAGTTTCAGAAAGGAACTTTCCCTCTACTGCTTTTGAAAGACAGATAAGGGTAGAGGGGAAGCAGATACGTTAAAAAGGAAGACACTTTGCATAGTGTTTCTTTATGAAGGCATGTACCACCCCCGCCCCCAGCCTTCCAGAGGCTTACTGTTTAGTAGACATTAGTAGGAAAGAAGGAAAATATTATAGCACAACTATAATTTTAGGCAGTTAAAATAGGAGCCACCAGGGCTTTCTAGTGTTTCTTCTGTGTATGGTCATCATATCCAACTTTTCTTTTCCCTGTGTTTTATCTTCATCCATGCATTCCCCTGGATAATAATAATAGTTGTTGATATTTACTAAGCACTTATTATATGCTAGATACTATGCTAAGGACTATATATATATTATCTCAATGAATGAATTGTAAGTCTTCTTCTGTTCCGTTTCACAAATGAAGGAATTAAGGCTAGTGATTTTGGGAGATTGGTCCAGGTCAAACTGATAGTAAGTTGAAGTACCAGGACTTTAACCTAGGTTTTTCTGACTTCTGAGACCATAATGGTTGGTACTTCAACTTACTATGAAGTACCAGGATTGGTCCAGGTCAAACTGATAGTAAGTTGAAGTACCTAGGTTTTTCTGACTTCTGAGACCATAATGGTTTCAACTGATATGGAATCAGAAAACCTGGATTTGAATCCTAGCTTTACCACTTGGTAGCTGTGTGACACTAGGTAAGATAACTTCTCAGAGGCTCAGTTTTCTCACCTCTAAAATGTAAGAAAAAGTATTTTATTATAATTTTACATTTGAAGGAAAAAGATTTAAGAGAACATATTTGATGACAGTGGTGGTAATAATAATACTGCCAGCTTATATTTGTATGATGATTTACACTTTTCAAAGTAATTTCTTATACACGATCTCATCCTAACAGCTGTCCTGTGAGGTTGATGTCTCAGTGATGAGAATTCTCTAGTAATTCAGTGTGTAACCCTGGTCAATCTCTGTTAATTCCTGTCATAAAACATAGAATCTGGAAAGGGAAAAGAAGCAGTAGTGTTTCTCAAAGTGGGATCTAAGGCCTTCCTGCATCAGAATCACCTGGGGTTTCTGGTTAAAACAGTTCCTGGGCTTCATCCCAGACCTACTGAATCTGAATCTCTAGGAGAATAGCCTTAGATTTATGTTTTATTAAGCTTCCTAGGTATTTATGCACACTTAAGTTTAAGAACCTCTACTATGCAGTTATAAAAGCCCCTTACCATAGAAGAGACTCATATAGTTGTAGTCACTTGGAAATCCTACTCAGAGGGTGCCAAGGATTACCATTTTTTTCTGCCCAAGAGCCGAGACACCTGTTTAGTTCTGCTACAATTAGATGTTATTCTGCCTTTTAAATTTTTCCCTGAAAGCTATAAAAATAATATATATAACTGCCTCATTTTTCCCTTTTTGGGCTGTTTCTCTAGGCACTTACTGATGTGGATGAGACCTACCGAAAGCCTGTTCTGGGCAAAGCGTATGAGCGGGATTCTTCATTGACTCTCACAAGGGTAGGCAGTTTCTCCTGATTCCCTGGGTACCCAGCATGTTTTCAGGCTTAGGAATTAAGATCGCTGAGTCCAGTGACCAGGGTTTCCTAGCCAGGTATGCCTGGACCAAGGTCTTTATTAGTCTCTCTTCTCATGCATCCAGCTAACCTCAAATAAGCCCCTGCTTCTGACCTGCATATTATTTGAGTAACAAATAAGGCTTAAAAATCTTTCCATTTTCTACCATAGAAATAAGTAGGTGCCTTTTCTTTTGACATACTTAGTAATTTGTCTGAGTTATGGCTAGAAATAGAAAATTCATTACTAACTTTTTAAAAATTGCAAAGCAAGTAATCCACAGAGTATAATTAAGGAATCTGGCCTTTTTTCTGTGTATTGAAAGGATGATGTTAAAGGCTAACATTTGTCATTGCTTTCCTTGTAGCTGTTTGATCGGCTGAAACTTCAAGATTCCTCCAAGAAGGAAGTAGATTCTAAGTCTGCAGTCGAAGACTCTACTTTGTCCAGATACTCCCAGACATCCACTTGGAAGGTAGCTTCAGTGTGGGGAAGAGGAGACACTGACCGGGGCTCACGCAAGCATTCCCGCTCTGCCCCTTCTTCCCTACAGGCATCTACAAGGGAGGAGTCCAGGTCAGAGCTGTCAGGGAGGACTGTGGGGACAGAAGGGTCTAGTGGGGGAGGTACCTTTTCCAGGGCTACCACCCTTTCCAGGGGCCAGCCCCGTAAGAAAAAGCGAAAGCCTAAAGTGGATTACCAGCAGGTATTCACTAGACATATAAATCAGATTTTCATTCGAGGTGAGAATGTCTTGCTGGTTCATCTTGCACAGTGACTAGCTCACTCTCACTTGAGCTTTCGTTTTTTAGGAGTAAAATGCATGAATTGCTGCTATGCTGTATCCTAGTATCCCAGTGAAACCCTGAGTTAGAATGATTCCCTCTGGTACTGCACGTGCTGAGGAGAGAGCCAGGCTTGGGCTCTCTGGGAGACGAGCTCCTTCAAGGGGAGAGAGGCCTTGGGAGGGTGAGTGTTCGCATTACTATCAAGGCAAAAACTGCACTTGGGTACACACATCTTGTTTGGTATTATGGTCTACCTCAGACACTCAAACCAAATGTAAGATCTTCCGTTCAAATCAGGGGTCATGGTATGAACTGAATTCACTGCACAGACTCTAGAGCATGGTGGCGGGAAGCGCACCTCAAAAAGAATGGTCTCTGTTCTGAAAACTAGTGCCCTGAGTACTCAAGAGTTTGGTTCTGAGAGTAGCAGTATGAGTTGCCCTGGAGCCCTGTACCCACATCTTGTAACTGATCATTGAATTTTGCTCTACACTGTTCTCTCGATCAAGAAATGTAATCTGTTATCTTTGGTTATCTATAAAATCTAAGAAAGCTACCAACTTATGTAAGGGTGGAATTTGAATAGTTGCTGTGCTCAAAGCAGCCCTCAATGAACGCCATTTTTATCCCTCTCATTATGAAAAGGAATATGGGACCTCAGCAGTCTTCCCTTTACCAGAGGTAGCTTCTGTGAATGGCATGCCAGATGGGACTATAAGATGTTTGTGTGGTGGCTTCTTGACTTTCTAACATCTGTGGCATGGTGCTAGTGCATGTACCGTATGTCTTGCCCCTCTGTGACCTGTCCTGTGAGCTTTATGGCAGGAGACTGTGACCTTCATGTCTGGCTTCAAAGAGTTCTGCATGAACTCAGTTAGACACATGCATCACACAGCTGAGAGTCCCCTTCCCAGGCAGGGCTGGCCCTGTGTAGAATGTCTTTCCAAATGATTTTCCGTGAAATAGGGGTGGTAGTTTTATTCCATGTGTCGGGCCAAAGAGATTCTCACAAACTATAGTGGTTGGTGTCTGTAAGGGACACTTTACTCACAGCCTGGCTTCAATAACAGGAATACCACACCACTCTCTAATACTACTTGAATCATGTATTATTTTTCAGTCACCAATGCAGAATAGGCTATAGCTTGACACAGCCTCCGAGGCAATATTGATTTTTTTTTTGTTTTGTTAGTTTATATTTGGTTTTATTTTAGGTAACTCATGTTCAAAGTGTGAAGTAGCTAACTAGTTAAAATGCTTGAAAAGAAAAATTTCCCGTGCTATATTTGTTGTTTAACTTACATAAGCCTTCTGAGAGCAGGGTGAATAAAGTTTGTGGAGCTAGGACTCCTGGTCCTTCTGGTCCTCCAGCTGGGTCCCTGGCTCATTGTATAATGAATGAAAAGAGAACAGACTTAACCCCTCTGTGCATCAGTTTTTCCTCATCAGACACCTACCTCACATAGCAGTGAGACAAAGACTCTTAGGAAGACATTTTACCGTCTCTAAACATGTTTAAGTGCCATGAGTAATTTTTACTAACTCTTGTGTCACAGTTTGGTAAGAACCCTGTCTTAAGAGCAAGGCAGGTGCTACATACATAAGAAAGTGATCTCTGTAGGTGTCAGAATTATGATCTTGTTGTGTCAGACAGCAGTGTTATCTTCAGGAACTATTATCATATTCCATTCCTTCCTCCAAAGGGGCAGCGGAAGTTTCAGAAGCATATCTGCAGTAAGAGGAGAGTAGCATTGCTTTGCTGCTCCCCTTGCATCTCAGCCTTCACCCTTTTCTGAGTATCAGAAAGAATTCCCCTGAACTTTTCAGGGGGTTATATGATAGTACTAAAGGGAGAATGAGCATCTAAAAATGATTCATCCCCAAAGGGGAATTTGTGGAAATTGTTTTATTTATGTTTATTGTAAAATGCATTTTAAATATACTTTTTAGAGCCACAGCAGTTGCATTAAACATTTAGACAGATCCTGGGTCACAAATTTGAACAGTCATCTTTGAATCTGCCAATCTAATCTCTTCTAAATAGGGTGTCTAAATCTCAGTTCTCCAGTTATTAGTCACCAGGTACCCCTGCCTCTACCTCTACCAGCCTCCCCGTTTGGCCGTCCACATCTGTCTGCCATCTTGTCCCTCAGCTAGAAACTGTAATGGATACTAAATTTTCCCAGTAAAGTAGAAATTTGGAATCAAAAGAAATATTATCAATTTCCATTCATTATAGTGGCTGATTAAATCTAACCTAATTTATTTTAAACACATTCTGGTTTTCATGTTTGCATATAATTTTCATATGTCCATATAAAGATTGATTTACCACTTATCTGCCCAACTTAACAATTCTGGCTTTGAAAATTATTTTAAAACTGCACGTGATCTGTCTTATGTGTCCATTTATTTGTTTGTTTTGGACACCGATTTTGGAATAAACTATCTAATGGTAAATGTGCTAATTTGTACAAAGCATGATAATTTTTTAGAGAATTGTTTATTATTGGAGAAATTTTCCATAAGGAAGAAAAAATAGGTCCTAACAATGTATATGCTGCTCTAAAAATGTGATCATCTAGGACGTTGTAGTTGCTATGGCAATAACTGATGTTTTCCTCAGGAGAACGAGAGAGAAAAGGAAAGCAACAGCTAGAATGGTAAGAGTCCTAGAGACCCCCCACCCCCAGCTCACCTGAGGGGGTTTCTAAGCAGCCGAAGTGCAGCAAAACTAGTTTCTAGTGTTCTCCAGGGATTTGAGTTTGGGAAACTTGGTAGGAATAGTACTTACTTTTGAACATCCAACTTCAGTCCTTCAAAGTAATCTCTAAACATGGGAATGTGTTTCCCAGACAATTCAAAGGGCATACCCATACAGTTGTTGAGGTCTTCTTAGGAGTTGCCAGCTTTGTTAGATAAGAACAAGGGATTGAGAAAAGGAAGGTACAGTTTCACACTCAGAATGATTTCATGTGCCATTCTTTGCACATAGAGGTTATTCCACCCCTCTTCCACTAGGAGAACTTGAACTTCAGGTTGTATGTTCTAGTATTTGGGAAGCATTTATACACTTCCCTTCAGAAATCATCTTACGACAGGTGGGCCGTTGGTGAGGTGGTTTGCCAGAATTAGCAGTGTCCAGTTAGTAGCCTGCTGTCTGTGCATGGTGCATGTCAAATCAGAAAGCCTAGAAATGATTAGTAATAAAGTCTAGGTGCATGGGAATCCTTGCTATGAGTTGTTGGTGAATCAAGAGGGGCTATGTCTGTTTTCATGATGAAACCATCCAGGAGTACCTTTACTGATTGTCAGGTCATGAGCTGTGAGCTGCCTGTAATCCTCAGAAGCTTTACAGAAATGTGGGTGTACTGCTTCCATCCTTTGAGAAAAAGTAGAAGCCTAACTTGATGCAGAGTAGACTTGTTTTTCTATTTGCAGTATTACTGAAATAGCTGACATGGGTAAAAAAGAATAAATTCTATAAAATACTTCTTTAAATTTTGTCTAAATTTTGCTTTTAGGAAAAAATTAAAATTATTCAAAGACAGCTAGCTGTCACTGGTGCTGCCCCAGAGCTTTCCAATCCTTTATGTATTTTTTATGAATGAAATACTTGCTGTAGGAAGGTCAAGATTTATATAAGAGTATAATGGTATATATAATGGTTGGTTTTGCAGCTTTTGTAATTTTTCTTTTTCTGTGCCAGATATAGTATACAGTCGACTCTTTTTCACTAACTTCTGTTCACCAACTTGTATTTTTCTGGGCAGTAATCCCCAAAAGGCTTTTCTTAGTGATTGTAAAGCAAGACTATCTTATCTGGGCCTGTGTTGCAAAGGTGGGTGGTTTGTCATTACTTTCTGGTAAATTGGGTTGATGGATATAAGATAAACCTTTGGGGTTCCTGTCAGTTTCCTGGGCTTTGAGGAAGGGTTGGTTCTTCTTTACTCTCTGTCTTTTGAGTATTTTTCAAATATTTGTAAGTTCTCTTGCACTCTGATAAAAATGAAAGCTCTCTGTCAGGGAATGGCTTTGGATGGTTTGGAGATCTAGGGGGAAAAATAAGTACACCTGAGACCTTCAGTTGGCCTTTTATTTATTTATAATAAAAAGTAGTTTGATAAGCTACCAGAGTTAGTGTTTCTTTAAAAACACTCTCTGAAAAGATGGGAACTGTCCCTATAGGAAAGCTGTAAAAGCTATTCCCAATACATTGCAATTGCTTTTGATTTTTAGTCTTTCGGAGCAAATGTCTGATGTTATGTCTGATGTTATATTTTTAGAGCTGTGGGGAAAAAATGTCTAAAAAATGTAAGGGATATGATTTAAACAATGATTACCTGGGTGAATTATGTGTGAGCCAGGTTTTAGGGCAGCTGTCCAGTTCTTTTTCTGTAATCCGGACTATAAAGCCAATAGTAAGCGATGTCTTGAAAAGTGATTTACTTATTTCATAATGACATCTAAAGACATTAGCCTTCTGGGCTACCCTGGGGATACCCCCCCCATACCGTGACTTATTAATATTTTTTAGGCAAGGCTAAACCTGGATGACTATAAATTTATAGTTTTTCTACTCATATACCAGCTGCTAAAAGAAAAACCATGACTTGTAATCTTGTCTTGAAATTACTCCTAATTGTTACGTTCACCTAACCCCTTCCTGTTTAGGGAGGATTGCTGCTAGTAATATCAGTTTGCAGTTGTTCTGCTTTAGGTATGTGTCATATGGGAGTCTGGAAACTGTAATAAATATGATTGTATTAATGTACTGGCTGCTTTGTCTGCTGATTTGGGGGTGTGGGGAGAGACAGCAGGGGAGTCTGTTACCAAGTGAAGACATGGACCTAGAAAGTTAAAACATCTCAAGCCTTCTGCAATCTCACTGTTGTAACCTTTTGTCTTTTCTTTACCAAAGCACACACATCTAGATCCCTATTCTTTGAGGAAGCTTTGTTCTTTCAAGTTTATTTGAAGTTCATGCTTAGAAAAGAAACTTGGCCTACATTGTAAATTATCTCGTCTAAGCCTCAGGCAATGGTAATTGCCCTGTGAATTTATTCCACCTAATAGCCCACTGGCACTAATCCACTGTCTTCATGAGATCACCACTGACTGCTCCCCTCTGAGTGTTTTGCCACATCTGACTAATGGATCCTCACTGCTTCCAAAAATATTTGAATTTGCCACCATCTTTCCTCTGTGCATGTATAGGAAGTTGAACTGCCCAAAGATTTGCCACATTGATTACTTGATTTCCTCTGTATGCTTCCAGAACTGAGTCTCCTTGGTAAGAGAGACAAATGAAAATCACATGGATTCTTAGGGAAACCTCAAGTTAACTGCCAAGACCCAATTCCCCACTTTCAAAGAATATGTTATTAAGTTGGGCTCAGCTGACATACAGGAAATTTCAAACCACTGAAGAAGTGGAAGAAAGGGAGACAAGACCCAAAGGCTTCAGTTCTGGCTCTTGCTTGTTTGTTTCGTCTTTCAAAGATTTCTGATTAAATGAGAATGTCCTCATTAATCAAAATAAAGGCAGAAGAATTAGCTAGCTTGACATTTAAAATACACAACGACAGTGAAATATTAGCAGGAGAATGGAAGCCAGTGGAATGACATATACAAAACCCCGCGCTCTGGATAGGAGTGGCAAGGAAAGAAAAAAAATTTTGCTCACCTGCTTTCTCTCCTTGGATAAAAGTGAAGCTGTTTTTACTCTTCTCAGTTACCACTAGGTGGCAGTGGGTTAAAGAGAACTGCTTAAGTAGAGGTCCCAGAAGGACCTGCATCTCCAGATCTCCAGTCACTGTTACATTTAATTGCTAAATGCTCACCAGTCTGGACTGAGATAATCAGGAGAAACAAGCTATAATCAACTCAAGTGGCAACATAAGCATTTCTTACCAATATTAAACATTCCTGATTTAAAGCTTAGGAAGCCCGACTCATGGCAATCAGCCATTGAATGTGCTCGAGGAAGAGAGGTTATGAAAAAGATAGCCTATTGTCCACCGTTTTAGACAGTCTATTCTGACATCATGGGATTCCTCCTTTCTTCTTGGAATACTGTCATTTCTACCCAGCCTCTTCCCACTTGCTGGCCAGGGATCACCAAGGAAAACTATCTTGATGCTCCTGTTTCTAAGCCACTGTCAATTTTGGAAACAATTCAGTTTCACCCAATGTTGATGCCTGAGAGCCCATTTGTGAGAAAGGCTGCAGCTCATATGATTCCATAACCAGAACTGAGTCTCCATTCCAAGGCAGCAAGCAAATATGCTCTTGAGTCAAAGGAAAATTTTAATACACAGAAAAGTCTATAGTTTTAGGCTGGGCACTGGGGCAGAAGGGGTGGGTGGAAAGTGCAAATAAGTCTCCTAGCACTTCATGTCAAGACCTTCAAAGACCTTCCCCTGTCTACCTCAAAAAATCATTTCCCAGCAGCCTACGATGAAGAGGAACACAGTATGTGAAATAATAAATAGGTATTGGTCTTCAATTGAATCAATAAAAATAAGATCACAATAAAGAGCTTTATCTCATGCCTTTCTGTACGTTAGCAGCTTGTACCACATTTCACTCAATCATGCTATGAAGGGGAAGAGGACAGAAGATGCAGTAGGCAATACTGTCATTTTCGAGGATTTCAGCTGAATGCCAAGCGTATAACGTGCATTACCTCGTTCAGATACAACCGCCGTGAGAGGAAGATTTTGTTCCTATTACATATAGGAGGGAACTGAAACAGGTTAAGTAACTTGCCAGCGTCTCTCTGCTAATAAATGGCAAATTTGAAATTCTTTAGAGATCTGTCTGTCTCTTAAGTTTGTTAGCCAATTACTCCTTAAAAATACTAAGTTTGTCAGGCATTGACCAGGAAATTTTGAGGGCAAGCTGAGTCATCTCCTTAGACTAATCAGATACCAGAGGGCTGAGTTAAAATATGGCTTGTTGGTTTGCTCAGGTGTCTCTAGTCTCTTCTGATTCACACTGCTCTTTGAGTAGAAGTGGACACTCACACAAGGCTTCATGGCTTCCAGACAGGATGAGGGTGGTGGGCATCCCCAAGGCAATAAGCCGGCTATGGCACCAGGAAGGCTGCCAAGTGAATGCCAGAAGATACTTCTCCCACCAGTTAGTTTTGCTGTAGAGGGGGTATCAGACCAATAGTCTTGTTAAAAAGATGATGAAGTGACTCATGGTCTTCCTAGCTCTTCAGTATGTATTTAGAAAGTCTGCCATCCCTTTCTTTCGATTATTTTGCCACACTTGGGAAGAATGCTTTCTCTTGGTCTTGACTATAAATTCGTTTTATTAAGCTCTTCTCCAGGCTAAACTATGGATATGCTAAAGCTACAGAAAAATAAAGGACACATAGTCTTTCTTCTGAGACCTAAAAGGAGGCACAAGCAGAAAGGTTTGGCAAGCCGTCTGTCCATCTTGTAAAATTTCCTTTCAACTAGACGATGTGTTAATTTTCAGAATATGGCAATTCTGAGAGGACCTCACTCTCCTAGGCCCTTTCACTAGTTACTTCTGAGCCTCAGTTTCCTAGTCTCTGAAATAGGGATAACAATACCTGCCTCACAAGGTGGGTGATAGAAAATGCTTGGTCCAGAGAGCAAGGATTTAATGCCATTCATGCTGTGATAAGCTTGCTGTGTGATGCCAGACCAGGCCTGGCAAACAAATGGACACAGCAGCATGTTGTCATCCTTTTCTCTAGCACACAGGTGTTTGAAAGATTGTTCCCAGGCTGCCTGAGTTCTCCACTGTTCCTCACTTGGCTTTTCCTGGGTTAAAACTTCAGAATATCATCAACTTCCGCAATGCTGGGAGAGCAGTGTGCTCCCCCAGGAATGACATTAGGCACCACGGGACATTCATTAGTCGAGGTTACAAAAGGACCACAGGGCACTGGAATGGTAATTTCCTACATGGGACCCCAGTGACCCAGGGTGAGCTAGCTCAGCTGGTCTGAGCATGTGGCTAATGAGAGAAGGGTCATGGTTTCACTCCTGTGTGGGCCAATTAGTGTCACGTGGAAAAGCACGCTCCAGGGTCATCAGACAGCAGCCTTACATGCGTGTGGCTCTGGTCACCAGAATGGCTCAGTGTAGCCATCATCACTATGAGAAACTCAACCCCAAACATACATCTTCTTTCTTATTATTATGTAGCCTATTGTTTCCAAAACTGGGTCATTTTCAGAGCATCTTCATGATTTTTGCCTTATCCTAAGTTGACTACTGCATTTTTATTTATTCAACACTTTAAATTGATTTACTTTTTAGCTTACATTTAAAAGGGAGCTGTGTATCACTACCATCAATGGAAAATTTGGAAATTTACCCTAAATTGAAAGTACACATTAAAATAAATGTATAACTATTGAAATTAAAATGTTTATCTTCATCCTATCTGCAGATGCCCCCTGAGCCAAAAGTGGTCAATGTGCTGTGTGTTAATGTTGCAGGTATATAACCTACATGTTTAATATAATACATTGTTCTATAATAAAGTGTTCACATCGCCAAAAAATATTATAAAGCAATTGCTTTAAATGGGAAGAGTTGGGATCAGGGACTAGGGAGTTTCACACTTGAAGTGATAAAATTATTCTTGCAAGAATTTCAACTGCAAAGGTCTTTCTAATAGCCATAAATGTGTAGCTATAAAATGTAAGCTCTGAACAAATCCAGGGTTTAATTTACATCTAGCTTTTGCTCAAAAGTCATGGCTTTCATTCGCACTCTCCACTGCTATTATCATTAACACTGTGCTTCTTACACATTCTTATCATTATCGCCTGTTTTATGATAAACAAAGCACAAACATGCAAAGCAAATGTGTTGACTGTACATCCTTGTTCCCTTCCAGTAATGAGCCAGTTCCTGCTAATCTCCCCAGTTGGCCCATTCCTTATGGAGCTCAAGATTCAACCAATAGTGATGTTGGTAATAAAAATGTATTCCCTAAATTAATTGAGCATGTTATAGCCAGTCCAGTTATGAACATGTGCACCGGAGGACAAATAAACACACACACACACACACACACACACACACACAGAGAAGCCTCCTCAGGGTAGAGAGAGAGCCTGGCCACTCCCATTTTTGAGGTTCCCAATACATTAAAAAATGAAGAAATGTCAAAGCGGAGTTGTAAAAGTTGTGTATTGGTTGAATGGTGGACAGCTTTCAGTCCTCTCGGTGTACCTGTGAGTGGGTCTGCAGCCTCATTTAGAGGTAGAGCCCCAGGTCTGAATGTGAGGTCTCAGTGACTATAAGGACCGAAGGGCCGTCCCTTCCTGCCCCCAGGTCAGAAGACGAGCTCCGGCCAGAAGCAGTGACTTAAATAGGCACCTAGGTTCAAATGTAAGGCAGAGCGTGACATTTGGCAATGTGGAAATGCAAAGTCATCTGGGGTGTAGAAAGTTGGGACGGTGAATAGCTTTCACATTCCTTTTCTGTCCCCCTCATCTCGTGGATTCTTGCTACAGTCACTCCTGTTATTGCAGTGCCGCCTCCTACTCTGACAGCTTTGACATCATCCTTGGAAAGCCATTAATTGATAGTAAGGGCCAGGCCATTTCATAAGTGCCAGAAGACTTACTTAGACCAGAAAATCAAAATACTAAGAAGCAGGACTGCAATAATAGCTTTCTTTGCTTCACATGGACCCAATGACTTCAACCCCAGAACTCCTCTGGATGACCGTGCATGTGCACACACGGTCAAGAGCAGGGAAGCACTCCATGCCGTT